AAACTTGCCAAGGTTGAAAAACACTAGGCTGTAGGATTTCCAATTGGTTCCTTATTCTTCTTCCCTCGTCTTGCATCTTTTGCCCAACAATTAATTGCTTGGCCTCAGTTACCCAAACTAAGGCTCTGTGGCTAATTCTGAATAGTCCATTTAAAATTTTCTAAAATTCTTAAAAAAATAACGAGGTGTATAAAAAAAATATTTCCTCATGATTAGGTGGTGTGACTGGTTATTTATTTTTCACAAAAGATGCACCTCTGAGGTTATGTCTCTTATCCTGTGTGTTAATGGGTAAGGCCTCTTGTCATTTAGGTTACCCAAAGCACAAATCTTCATTGGGAATATTTTCATGAGTAATCAGTTATAAATAGAAATAAGATACTGAGGCTTTTTTGACAGGCTGGAACATTTGGCCAAAACCAATTGGATGAAATGTAAAAGTAAGCAGGCTTGCATTTAGATACCATAAAAATAAGCAGGGTGGCTATAATTGGCACTGGATCCTGCATCTAAAGACTTCTGTTTAGATAATGTGAGTCCTTGCTTAACAATGACAATGGCTCTTGCCATTGCAGTCATGTGACATTCTGCTTTATGACCGCATCACTTAGCAATGGAAAGTCCACTTCCAATTGCCATTGTAACCCAAGGATTATTTGTAGTTCATAACTTCGTTATAGGTAGTTATATGAAAAATAAATTCTTTAATATAGAAATAGAACATTGACTAACATATTTCTAACAGATTTTTTGTGACTGTTTTTTCTCTCTCCATCTTCTAGAGGAAAAAAAAAGGGAGAAATCTCCCACATAAGCAGGAGGATTACAGGCCGATAATAGATGGACAGTTCAATTATCAGGACATTCAGACTATTCCCAAAGGCAAAATCTTGACAGAGGAAGCCTTGACTCTTCTCAACAACCATCAGCGCTCTCCAGAGACATGGACTGCTGAGAAAATAGCAGAAAAATATTCTTTAGAACTGAAGGATGTGAATAACCTTTTAACATTCTTCATCCCATTCGTTATGGATTTCCTTCCTTACAAAGACCAGAAAACCCTGGACTCCAAATAAAAATTTCAAACAGAACTTGAGAGAGTTTGTCAGTGTTCAACCATAATTACATACCTACAATAATTCCTCCTCCCCATCAACCGAACTTATGCAGTTTCAGTAGTGTCTGCATTTTCTTTGGCATATCTATATCAGCAAACCAACCATATCATGGAGCTTTGAAGTGGCAGGTGGGAGAGGTGTGCCCACACCAACTCATGCAGTTTTCTTAAATATTCTAAAAATGTTGGCTGCCTTGTGGATGATGTGTTCCAAAGCACGTGTTCATTACTCAGAATTAGACGATAAAAATGCAGGTTCTTTGTACCTGATATTTTTCAGCTGAAGCTCTGTAGAAGCTTTTGCCCTAATAGCATTCTGCAAATAGCTTTCAAAACAGATTTGTATCTTCCTTCTGAAAAATTGCCAGTGCATTTCTGTAGTTCTTATATTTGGTCAACAAAGGAGTAAGCATACAAATGGGGAAGATTATATTTAGGGATGGCGTTCTTTTAATTTTGAGTTTTAAGAGTTTGACTCAAATGCCCTTTTTCCTCTGTTTTGGTGACTTTGAATCCTAATTCTAGTTTATTTATTTATTTTATTTATTATTTCAATTTATATCCCGCCCTTCTCCCGAAGGACTCAGGGCGGCTCACAACATTATTAAAACAAAGAAAGACCCACACACCCCACCGAATAAAACCAAATTAAAACCAAAATTTTTATGTTGTGATAATTAAAATTTCTAAAAAACCCAGTTTAAAAATCCTCCCTAGGCCAGGC